TGGAAGAAGCCGAGATCGAAGCTTGGGCTGCTTGGCAAGCCCACGCGTGGAATTGTGCCATCTACTTTGCTTCGTTTGTGGGAGGGCCTCCACAAGCCAGTCTCCCGGCAGCGGGGAAGTCTGACAAGAAGCCCAACCAGGCAAGCAGAGGGCTGAGGCAGCCTTGCAGAAAGTTATGGAGGAAGTCCAAGCCAACATCGAAGCCGGGCTGCCTGGCAAGCCCACGCGTGGAATTGTGCCATCTACTTTGCTTTGTTTGTGGGAGGGCCTCCACAAGGCAGTTTCCCGGGCAGCGGGGAAGTCCAGCCACACAAGCTGCAGCCAGGTAAGTACGAGATTTTTCCAGGCAGACAAGAAGGCCCAACCAGGCAAGCAGAGGGCTGAGGCAGGCCTTGCAGGGAGTTATGGAGGAAGTCCAAGCCAAGATCGAAGCCGGGCTGCTTGGCAAGCCCACGCGTGGAATTGTCCTCACTTTGCTTCGATTGTGGAAGGCAGTTTCCCGGGCAGCGGGAAGTCCAGCCACACAAGCTGCAGCCAGGTAAGTACGAGATTTTTCCAGAGACAAGAAGCTAACCAGGCAAGCAGAGGGCTGAGGAGCCTTGCAGGAGTTATGGAGGAAGTCCAAGCCAAGATCGAAGCCGGGCTGCTTGGCAAGCCCACGCGTGGAATTGTGCCATTACTTTGCTTTGTTTGTGGGAGGCCTCCAAAGGCAGTTTCCGGGCAGCGGGGAAGTCCAGCCACACAAGCTGCAGCCAGGTAAGTACGAGATTTTTCCAGGCAGACAAGAAGCCCAACCAGGCAAGCAGAGGGCTGAGGCAGCCTTGCAGGGAGTCATGGAGAAAGTCCAAGCCAAGATCAAGGCCGGGCTGCTTGGCAAGCCCACGCGTGGAATTGTGCCATCTACTTTGAATCGTTTGTGGGAGGGCCTCCACAAGGCAGTTTCCCGGGCAGCGGGGAAGTCCAGCCACACAAGCTGCAGCCAGGTAAATACGATATTTTTCCAGGCAGACAAGAAGCCCAACCAGGCAAGCAGAGGCCTGAGGCAGCCTTGCAGGGAGGTATGGAGGAAGTCCAAGCCGAGATCGAAGCCAGGCTGCTTGGCAAGGCCACGCGTGGAATTGTGCCATCTACTTTGCTTCGTTTGTGGGAGGGCCTCCACAAGGCAGTTTCCCGGGCAGCGGGCAAGTCCAGCCACACAAGCTGCAGCCAGGTAAGTACGAGATTTTTCCAGGCAGACAAGAAGCCCAACCAGGCAAGCAGAGGGCTGAGGCAGCCTTGCAGGGAGTTATGGAGGAAGCGCGTGGAATTGTGCCATCTACATCGTTTGTGGGAGGGCCTCCACAAGGCAGTTTCCCGGGCAGCGGGGAAGTCCAGCCACACAAGCTGCAGCCAGGTAAGTACGAGATTTCTTCCAGGCAGACAAGAAGCCCAACCAGGCAAGCAGAGGGCTGAGGCAGCCTTGCAGGGAGTTATGGAGGAAGTCCAAGCCGAGATCGAAGCCGGGCTGCTTGGCAAGCCCACGTGTGGAATTGTGCCATCTACTTTGCTTCGTTTGTGGGAGGGCCTCCACAAGGCAGTTTCCCGGGCAGCGGGGAAGTCCAGCCACACAGCAGCCAGGTAAGTACGAGATTTTCCAGGCAGACAAGAAGCCCAACCAGGCAAGCAGAGGCCTGAGGCAGCCTTGCAGGGAGTTATGGAGGAAGTCCAAGCCAAGATCGAAGCCGGCTGCTTGGCAAGGCCACGCGTGGAATTGCCATCTACTTTGCTTCGTTTGTGGGAGGGCTGAAGAAGCCCAACCAGGCAACGATCTGGAGGAGATTTGCATCAACGAGCCAGAGCTTCGATTCAATATCCCCAGGAACATGGAAGAGTCGAAGATGAGGTTCGAGTACAAGCCGACGTTCACTGCTCAATCCAGGAGAAAAAAAGAGCGTCGGAACGAGGGTCATGACGAACGAGAAGCGTTTGGGAACGTTGATGCCGGCGGTCTACGTCTGCGGTGGTACACAGTCTCCGAATTTGGAACATTCCTCTGCAAATTTTGCAGAAATGAGTTACAGAGGAGTAACTCGAGAGTACTGGAATCCAAAAAGACTTTCAGAGGGCTGAGGCAGCCTTGCAGGGAGTTATGGAGGAAGTCCAAGCCGAGATCGCCCACGCGTGGAATTGTGCCATCTACTTTGCTTCGTTTGTGGGAGGGCCTCCGCAAGGCAGTTTCCCGGGCAGCGGGGAAGTCCAGCCACACAAGCTGCTGCCAAGTAAGTACGAGATTTTTCCAGGCAGACAAGAAGCCCAACCAGGCAAGCAGAGGGCTGAGGCAGCCTTGCAGGGAGTTATGGAGGAAGTCCAAGCCGAGATCGAAGCCGGGCTGCTTGGCAAGCCCACGCGTGGAATTGTGCCATCTACTTTGCTTCGTTTGTGGGAGGGCCTCCACAAGGCAGTTTCCCGGGCAGCGGGGAAGTCCACAAGCTGTAGCCAGGTAAGTACGAGATTTTTCCAGGCAGACAAGAAGCCCAACCAGGCAAGCAGAAAGCAAGCCCACGCGTGGAATTGTGCCATCTACTTTGCTTCGTTTGTGGGAGGGCCTCCACAAGCCAGTTTCCCGGGCAGCGGGGAAGTCCAGCGACACAAGCTGCAGGCAGGTAAGTACGATATTTTTCCAGGCAGACAAGAAGCCCAACCAGGCAAGCAGAGGGCCAAGGCAGCCTTGCAGGGAGTCATGGAGGAAGTCCAAGCCGAGATCAAAGCCGGGCTGCTTGGCAAGCCCACGCGTGGAATTGTGCCATCTACTTTGCTTCGTTTGTGGGAGGGCCTCGCAAGGCAGTTTCCCGGGCGCGGGGAAGTCCAGCCACACAAGCTGCAGCCAGGTAAGTACGAGATTTTTCCAGGCAGACAAGAAGCCCAACCAGGCAAGCAGAGGGCTGAGGCAGCCTTGCAAGGAGTCATGGAGGAAGTCCAAGCCAGGCAAGCAGAGGGCTGAGGCAGCCTTGCAGGGAGTTATGGAGGAAGTCCAAGCCGAGATGGAAGCCGGGCTGCAAGCCCACGCGTGGAATTGTGCCATCTACTTTGCTTCGTTTGTGGGAGAGCCTCCGCAAGGCAGTTTCCCGGGCAGCGGGGAAGTCCAGCCAGGCAGCCTTGCAGGGAGTTATGGAGGAAGTCCAAGCCAACATCGAAGCCGGGCTGCTTGGCAAGCTCACGCGTGGAATTGTGCCATCTACTTTGCTTCGATTGTGGGAGGGCCTCCACAAGGCAGTTTCCCGGGCAGCGGGGAAGTCCAGCCACACAAGCTGCAGCCAGGTAAGTACGAGATTTTTCCACCGGATAATTGAAGATATGTGCCAACTGAGCATGGGCCATTTTCAAATCACACCGTGCCATCTACCTAAAAATATACGTCGTAAATGTGCCATCTATTTGCCGGGTAGTGTAAAATGGTTTGCGGAATCCCCCCAATTTGAAGATGAAACGAAGAAGTCCCCTAGGAGGGGGAATTCCCCGAAACCAACAGAGTTCCCAATCCTCTGATTCACAGCTGTTCTGTAGCTTCCCAAGGCCTCAAAAAACAAACAGTCCTGAGATTTTAAACATATGAAGCCTTGGATGTCCAAAACCTGAAAACCGACTTGGATCCCATGGAGAGTCATGTTTGTTTGTTCGCTCGGTTCTCCGAAGCCAGAAGCATGGCGAACTCACCAGCCTAGCGAACAGAGTGGATCAGGGGCTGGCAGTAGATCATGTCTCTGCCACTGTTGCTATTGCTTCACAATGATCTTTTTAAGGCTAATCCTGATGGACCCAACACATAAGGGTTCCAAGCCCATTCCACTTATTCTGAAACTCAATGCCCCGTTCTTTTCACGTAGTAATGTAATACACCCCGCCATGCCTCGACACCCCCAGCATCCACGGGAAAAAGAAACCAGGCACCGTTGTCTTGGTGGGTGGAAAAGGAAACCCCCTCAAAACAAAGGAGCCAATCGGTGGTGCAACCCACTGTCCTGTGGAAGCACAGCAGGAGTTTTCCTTCCTTATGCCTGCATGCAACTTCCAACTTCCGCATCCCTCAGGAGCAACTTGGAAAGTCTAGAGGCCTGCACGCACAGAGTGTACCCCGGCTAAACCCTGACCTAACGTCCGCCCTGGGGGCGGGGGGTTCACGTTCGCGTTCAGCTTCCGGGCCGGGAGTGTCAGGGCTCATTTTTTTGGTTCGGGTTCAGGTTCGGGGCCGGACGTGTCGTGTCCGCTCCGGGGGGCGGGGGGGGGGGTTCGGGTTCGGGTTCAATTTTCCGCTCGGGCGGGGGTTCGGGTTCGGGATAGGGTTTGGGCTCGGGGTTGGGGGTCTTTTGTTTTGGGGGGGGATTCGCGTTCGGGTTCAGAATCGGGGCCGGGCGTGTGATTCGGGTATGTTGCAGATATGATTCGGCTCCTTCCAAAACGCAACTGGATACAAACGCCGATTGTCCATTGACTAGACAACATCATCTCTATGGGTGAGCGAGCACATGTTCAGCACCCAGTGCTCATCATTTCCAGCATGTAGCCCCCCAGCGCAGCAAATCAGCTACTGTAAAGTTGACTGACTCGTTGTTGTTGCTGAGATATGCCGATGTTGCGCCCTGGGTGCGTCGTATTCGGTCTATGGGAACCCCGCACCGCTGACGATGTCGTCCTTCTGCGCCTTACAGCGCGCGCAACACAACATCCGCATAAAGCACTCCCAGGTAACACAGATGACACTACTTTTGAAGCTGACTCTGCTAACTCATATACTATTTGCATCTACCTGGTGCGTTCCAGCAACATCGCCTCTGCTGCAGCTGAGACTGCAGCCATCCTGTCGCAGCCCGAGCTTGCACCTTGTTCCCAGACATGGGCCTGCAACATCACTCTCTCTCTCTCTCTCTCTCTCTCTCTCTCTCTCTCTCTCTCTCTCTCTCTCTCTTTCTCACTGCATCGGGCGTCAACTACAACAACTACGACAGCGACCGGTCTGCTGTACTTCAAATGCGGCTGTGGCACTGGTCCTGCGGCTCGCCTTCTTTGTTGGTGGTGAGCGAGAAACAGGCCTGCTGCTGGCCTGCGCTGTCAAGCTCTGTCGCTGACTCGGATGTGAACCGCAGCGTACTCTGTCGCTGATCCGGGAGCATCGCCTTCTTCGGCAGCCACAGGCTGCCCAAAGGGACGGCCTGCGGCTCGGGCTCCAATGTGGGTTAGCATTTTCCAGCACGAATTCAGCATTGCCATACCAAATTGAATGCTGTTGAATAAGGCTTTGACTTTTAGACTCCAAAAATAATTGCTCGCAATGCGCTGAAGCGGACCGGGAGTGTCCGCTCGGTGCCGCACACTGGCTTGCCAGAGGGGTCCAGCACCAAAACGGGTTCGAGCTGTGGCGCCTCTTATGGCGTGAGTTTCACCCGGAGAACCATTCCCAAGCATTGATCTGGAGCCGCACTTTGCTATCTCCCAAATTCCCCCTTTGGGCGGTACTCAAGTTATTTTGTTGGGGGGGGAGGTGGGGGGGCGGGTTCGGGTTGGGGATCGAATTCAGGGCCGGGTTCGGGTCTGGGGCTTCGGGGCCGGGGAATTCGCGGGGGAATTCGGGGGGCGGGGTTCGGTTGCGGTTCGGGTTCGGGTTCCGGGCCGGGAGTGTCCGCTCGGGGGGGAGGGGGTTTGAAGTTCGGGTTCGGGTTTAGGTTCGGGTTCGGCGCTTTTTTTTTTGGGGGGGGGGGGGGGCGGGGGGGTTCAGGTCCGAGTGGGGTACCTATTGTGCATGCAAGAACATCGTTGTGGGACATGACATGCCCAATGGCCACGAAAAACAGGCCACCTGGACCCTAAAATGTCCCAAAAACATGGAGACTTATGGGGTAAATTTCATGTTTCATGAGTAGTTTCAGGGTCCGGGATATATTTTTGCTGGTTGAGTTTAAAGGGGGACCCTTCCCCGAAAAGTTGAAAAGGGGCGCCACTGCCCAACCAAAGTGGAGCATCCTTCTGACTACGTTGTCACTACGAGGGGCGTTTCGAAAAGGGTCTCAAAGCGAGGCCTAAAACCCTTTCCTCAACCATTTGCAAAAATGCCGCCATGTTTCCCCAGCTGCAGTCTCCCTTACAGAAGAAAACAATGGTTACTCATGGTTTCAAAGTGGTGCAGGATTTCGTCCATCCACCGTAGGGACATCTCCAGCTGCTTGGACCATGAAGCATGGCCATTGAGGGGCAGATCCGAATTCTGCAGGGCAGCTTCACACGAAAAAGAACTGATTTACACGGCCATGAATTTTAATAGGGAACCACCTTAAAAGTGATTGGTGGACATGAATCCCCACCTAAATGATGTCCACCAAAGGGTCCCTTATTAAAATTCATAGCCATCAGTTTGCGCTGGCTGAAGCATTGTCAAAAGGAGACTGAAGACCGGCGCACTGCCCCTTGAATTTCCTGAGTGGATGGGCCAAACAACCGTCCGAACTCTGCATTTGCCTGTAGAATGGTCCACGAAGTTTAGTGAGAATTGGGTTACGTACAAATTCCCTTGAAACAAACAAGACACACTTCCTACTCGATTGCTCTGGGGAAGATAGGGTTTGGCTTGGCTTCTTGGTTGCTGTTGATCCCTCTCCAAACAGATTTAACTTTTGTAGGTCCAATGGAAAATCCACTGTATCCACTGCTTCCCAAAAAGTTAAAGTCCAAAGATCCAAGCAAATTGCTGTAAGGCTAAATCAGCTTAGTGGTTTGGATTGGCAGTTTGGGGGTTAAGCAGTGATTTCCCATTTACACTCTACAAAAGCCAGGGCTTCAAATCCTAAACCACCAATTGATCCTTACATTATACACCTCAACATTGCCTTGTGAATGGTGGTTTCCCTTTATTTTAGTGCACAAAGCCATGTTTCAAATGGGCAAAACGTATTTTAAGGAGCCCTGCTGAACAACTTCTTTCTCCAAGCTGCGTAGATGCCCCACAGCACCGGCGACAAGGCGGCCAACAAAGCGCCGGTCATATAGAGCGCGGCGCCGATTTGGACCTCGAGACACGGGCAGTTCCTTCCGCTCCACTGACGCTAGCCAACGTGGAGCCCAAAAGGAGGGTCCCCAAAAACATCGCCTTCCGTAGTTTTTGGGTTGCACCAGATATGGCCAAAGGCTCTGAAGTTCAACCCGTCTGATTCAGGCCTTCAACTCCCCGTTTGCGAAAACACAAGTGGCAGCCCAGACCCGACGTTCACCGAGCAAAGACATGTGAGCCATGGGCTTGTCATGGTTCCCTCAGGGATCATCGTATCCGGGTCCCTGGCGAGTGAAGTTCGTTGAAAAAGTGATCTGTAATGGTTCTCCAGGATCATTACTACCAGGTGGAAGACCATCCCGGCTAACCCCAAGCAAAGGAACCGGTCCTTCGGTCCTTTGACCATGGCACATGTACGTTTCACCTCGTCGTTTCTTGGGTTCACCGCATTGGATGCCTTCCCCTGGAATGGAGAGTCAAGTCGCTGCTCGCTCGCATCATGGAAGCGCAAAGAAGAATCAGTGCTGATGGATGCAAGTCCAAAACCGTGTTTTTCGCGTTGAAACTGCTCCTTTTCCCGCGAAAACGCCAACAATCCCCCTCCTCCCTCACCCCCCCCCCTTTCCCCCCTTTGCCCGCCCCCCTCCCCCCACCCCCCCCCCGCCGAAAACACCACTCCGCCCGCTTCTCGCGCGCGTGTTTCCCCCGCCTCCTTCTTCCGGCCCAAGGTGTCCGCATAGCGGAAGCAGATCGCGGAGGAGACCACCGCGCCGATCAGATTCAAAGAGCTCAAAATCCCTTGGTCCCAGGCCTCGACTCGAGTCATGATCCAAACCCGGAATAAAAATGGTCGATCCAGGCCTCGATTCGAGTCATCCAAACCCGGGTTATGAAAATGGAAAAGATCCCATGAAAAAGATCCCCAAAAACCATGCTTCAAGAATTAAGGCGGAGATCCACAGCTATGAATGAAAATGAAAGATCCCCAAAAACCATGCTTCAACCTAGAGTCTCCTTCTGACCCTTAAAAAAGGGTTGGTCATTACCCTAAATCATGGTTGGTCATGGACCCAATTTAAGGGTCGTGGAGACTCCAGAATTAAGAAGGCGGAGATCCACCGCTTTTTTGGAAGCTCGGGATTGTCCCTACCCTTCCTCTGCCCCAATTTCGATGCTCCGATGTCGCGGTGGCCTTGAGGCCTCGAGGGCTCGAGGACTCAGTGGTTTTGGTGTCTGGTCCCATGTTACCAGGACACCCTACCCCTTAAAACTCCAAGCCCTGGGGAAGTTAATCTTTCATAATCTTTTACAGCCCATGTTACCCAAAAAGCTGAAAAGTTGTGTTTTTAAGAGGTAAGACACCTATACCTGGTACACGACGGTTTCGAGCAGAAACATTAGGGCTCGCTACTTGCCCAAAAGGTTCACAGAACTCCACTGGGTCCTCCAGATTTGAGAGCTTAGAACAAGGGTACCGGTTCCTGTTTTTTCAGTTTTGTCTTTTTTAGCAGGCGAACCCTGCTTTAAAAAAAAGAAGAGTGCACCACTAGGGGACCACGCGATGGCCGGCGAGGTCGCGGTTTTTTGTTTTCCCTGGAGTCTCTTTCTGACCCTTAAAACGGGTTGGTCATTACCCTAAATCATGGTTGGTCATGGACCTATTTTCTGAGGGTCATGGAGACTCCAGGTCCTTTTGTTCCCGCAACATGTGGACTTCGCCATGACTCTTCAAAGCACCACATTGGTGCTACTGGTACCTTAATCGCGAAACGGTGCATCCTTTACGCCGCATAAGGATTAGTGCCAAAATGGGAGGATTGCCCAGCTCCACTGGGCAGCTCCCCTCAGCAGCTGATGGGAGTAGAATTGATGCCACTCCCACAGCGAGGGAGGAATCCTCCCACCTCACCGGATGCCCTCCCGGCATCATGGGTGAGGAAGGAAAGTAGCGAAGATCAGCTTGATCAATTCGCTTTCGACTGAGGGGAAGACCCGGTTCTCAGTCGGAAATTGCGGGTCCGGATGAGTAAGTTCATCCGCCCATGTGTTAAAGTCGCGCTTCACATGCGACGGTCCTAACATGACCTGGTGGTCATGCAGTGTTAACACAATTTCCATGAGGATGGCCGCATTGGGCATCCTGCGAGTGGAATCGTTAAGCAGGGAGAAAACGTTTCCCTGGTTATCACTAGCAACCAGAATCCTAGTGTGAGAAGCCGAGCCGGCTGCACAAAGCAGAACAGCCCTCACCAAAAGGAGGAGGCCGAAGAGCTCCAAGGCCGCTATCGCCCGCTGCGGGTCCCCAGTAGTGAAGGCCCACGGCTCGCCCTCCGGTGTGATTCTGTGTTGGAACCACTTCACTCGGGACTTGTCGGGGTTGGGCACGTCCGAGCACCAACCACCAACCCATGCATGGTCCGCCTGTTTGCCAGCTCCCGCATCAGATGCCCCCGTCCATGGAAGTGTGGGAGCAAATGGAGATGCCAGTGGGAACCTCTGGTTGAAGAGCTTCCCCAGAAGGATGGCCAGAGCACGAACCAGCTTCGGTGGCCTGCCCGAAGTGGTGCAGGCCTTCTTCCAGCTCCAAAAGGGCTGGAGGAAAGGTTTCGTCAATGGACACGCCGAAGTAGCCCATTGAATCCGGCCCAGGGCTTGTTCCACCTCCTTGCTGGTAAAGATGTCCCCCTGGGCCAGCCGTTTGAGAGTGGCCAGGATTATGACGTGCTTGACTGGAGCCAGCAGCACACAGGGCGTGATTGGGTCCACCACGAATCCCAACCAGGTATTGACCGGGGAGAGCGCCGTCTTCTTCCAAGAAAGCGGGACTCCCAGCGCCAGAAGAGTGGCCAGGATGGCTGTGGCGTCCCAGTCCGCCCTGCTGCATCTGAGGACCCAGCAGTAGTCGTCCACAAAAACTAAGTGCCAGTCCACCTGAGGGAAGATGTAGTACAAGAGTCTGAGCACCAAGGATGCCTTTCTTCCCCAGTACAGTTGTGCCGAGGCCATGCCGTACGTGCCCACTCTATTGACCCACCACCGGTTCTGGATGCAGGCCACCTGGTATTTCCAGTCTTTCTGGAGCACTTTTATGCGCCTGTGGGCCTTGGTGACATCCGCCTTGAGGATGATGAAGGTTTCCCCCTGTGTCGGCGGCTGCCACGTCAGGGGTGGGGGTCCCTCTCAGGGCCCTCAGCACGTCCAGGCCGCCTGAGGTCTCCATCATCCGCCTGCCCCTATCAGGGGCACCGGCTGGCGAACATCCCGAGGTTCCTCATCAGTGCCCGAGGATGGGGCTCGGAGTAGATGAGGATGGTCCGCCGCTGTCCTGAGCCAGTGGATGGCATGGAGGCAGTCTCCAACCATCGGTGCGGTGGTCTTCTCCTCCGTGTGAGCCTGGATGTGTGCGTTTGCTCCCCCTTTTGAGCCATCATAGATCGTCCTGATCTTGTCCGACTCATCAACCCTGCAAGGGGGCCCGGGCAAAGTTCCTCCGGTTTGCAGCGGCACCTCTCTGCCGCCTCGGAGCGAGTGAAGGGCCCGTCCACCATGTCCAAGGCTCGTTCCTCGTAAAAGGTTGATTCGATTTCCTTGGCAAAGAGTTCAGCCGTTGGGTAGTTATCATGAGCCACTGGCGGGGGGGGATCTTCCCCCAGCCAGGCTTCTCCCTTAAGCTCCTCCTTAGTGGGCCAAACTCCCGGGGAGGTCAAGGTAGGGTCCGAGACTCCCAAGGGGACCCCCTCTTTCAGTGTTAGGGGGAACTCCCAATCAGGGTCACCTGAAAGGGATGCCAAGTGCGACACTAAGTCCAGGAGGAAGGGTTGTCCTGGGCATCGTTCATGGAGGTGCCTCGGTCCTAGGATAGCCCGCAGCTCCTCGAGGTCGGCTTCCTGGAAGGGGTGTGTGGTGGCACCTGATGCCAGGGACATTCGGACCTTGTCAATCCAGGGCCGGGTAAGGGTCATGATCAGGGCGCCCAAAGTAGCCAATGGGGAAATTCTCCGAAAAGGGGGGTTGAGCCTCCCTGGAAAAGGTTTTCCCCCCCCATCCCTCAGGGGGCGTGAGCGGAAACCCAATTGGACAATCGCCACCCGGTCAGTGAGGTGTGGGACCCTGAAAGCGGGCAGGCATTCGGGGCGGTCCAGGACCTGGTCCCCCCGTCCCTCCTTCCCCAGTTGTTCCGCATCTCCGGCCATCGGGGGCATGGGAGATGGGAAGTCTGGGTTCATTGTTCCACGAGGGCTTACGGTGTCTGCCTCAGGGTGGAACTGCCCGTGCAGGCGGGGCTTCGGGGCGTTCTTGCCTCCGGGCTTTGAGCCCTGGTGTGATGAGGAGGGACCGCCTCCTTGACTGGGCCCCCGTTTTCCCCGGGGGGAATGGCCTTCCGGGGGGTCCGACCCCCGCCCCTTAGGTGGTTCCTTGGGGTTTCCCGGAAATTGTGAGGGGATCCGGATGTGCCCCGGCGCTGCGAGTGACACAGCGATGGCTTTGGCCAGGCCTGCCATCATATCCCAAGGGTATCTGCTAAGAGTCGAGGACTCGTTGGTGCCCACATGTGACTGATGCGTGCACCGCATTTGATCCCAGTCCTGGATCGGGAGATCCGTGGCCAGCGTAGTGGCCTTCTTGACCAGCTGGCCCAGGCGGCACTGGTCGAAGGAGATTGCTGTCAAGGAGTTCTCCTCCATCCAAAGCTGCCCCTCCTCTGTGATCCAGAAGGATGAGCATTCCTTGGCTTTGGGCAGCGAGCTGCTCACCACTGGGTCCTCCGGGTGTTCCAGGAAGGACCTGGGCCCTGGCAGAGAAACCGCCGCTCGTGAGGCCCTTGCCAGGCTGGTGATGTACATCTGTCTCAGAATGAGGATGCTGTCATCATCAAGTTGAGTCTGGGCGGCCTGGTCCAGGTGTGGAAGGCCCCAAAGTGTCTCTGGAGTGCGCCCTCGCACCGGGGTGGGAGCCCCCGGTTTTGGTATGTGGCGCAGGATGGACCATGTCCTGCAGTTGGGTCCTCCTCCAATGAAGACCACTCGGCCCTGCTTTGCTGCCGTGCAAAGAGCTCCATACAGCTCGGGTTGGAGCATATCGTGGTCCCCTTTTGGTCCAGACCGTAGGATGTCTACCGCCACCACCATGCTGGAAAGGTGTGGGTAGTTGGCATGAAGACAGCTGTCCAAGGAAGTTGGGTCTTCCTTGCCTGCATAGAGCAGGACAATGATGGGCCCACTGGATGGAACTTTGGGCGATGTGCCCTGTGTCCATCTCAGCCGCTGTACCAGACGCTCAGGGATGTTCTCCATCCACGGGAAGATGTCCAATCCCGGTGACGGCTCCGTTGGACTTGTCAGGGGGGTAGCTGAAAGGCGTTGGCCCCCTTCATTCAGCCCCACCGAGCTCTTGTGGAAAACCACCGGGTCCTGCTTGATGATGTTGGGCGCCGGAAGTGGGATCGGCTGCTTCCTGGGAGTGTCCCTTGGCGTTGCGGTGTGCTGCCAGTCATCCGGCACTCGGGCCTTCTGGGTGCGGCCCCCCGTGTCAGGGCCCTCGGCACCTGCGGGGAACCGTCCCGTCCCCGCCATATCAGGGCCCTCGGCACCTGTGGCTCGGGACTGAGGCGCCGCCGTTGTGCCGGTTGTGTGGCTGTTCTGATCACGGCGAGGGCGTTGTGCACGCTGGTTCTGCCGTCCCCATCCTTGTTCCGCCGAGGATGGCCGCCACCTGGCCTGTCCCCCCCCTGTGTCAGGGCCCTCGGCACCTGCAGGAGGGGGCTTCTGTGCCTGCTTGGGGCGTTTGCCCTTCTCGCCCCCCCGGGCCTCG